GAGGAGATCAACCCTGACTGCTCTTTAGAAGGCCAGGTCCTGAAGGTGAAACTGAAATACTTTGGCCACCTAATGAGAAGGAAGGACTCACTGGAGAAGAGCCTAATGCTGGGAAAGATGGAGGGCAAAAGAAGAAGGGGACGTCAGAGAATGAGGTGGCTGGATGGAGTCACTGAAGCAGCAGGCATGAGCTTAAATGGACTCCAGAGGATGGTAGAGGACAGAAAGGCCTGGAGGAACATTGTCCAGGGGGGTCACGATGGGTCGGACAGGACTTCGCAACTATCAACAAAACTTTGAAAGCCTTTAAAGGGGGCAAGTGATATTTTGAACTGCTCCTGAAAGGAAAGTGGTAACCAGCACAGCTCCTAAAGCAAAGATGTTACACAGGAAAGCCTATGCCCCATCGTTGCATTCTGGACCGCCTGAAGTTTTTGGATAGTCCTCAAGGACAGCTCCATTTAGAGAGTGAAAAAGCATGAATGACTGTGAGCATGGCCATAAATGAATTGAAAATTCAAGGCCCACTCACAAATTTTCTTTCTTTTATGCCAGAAGCTTCAAGTGGCAGGGTGAGGGAATTCTATATTGGAAGAAGTGAAAGTGTATCCCAGTTCGATGGGGATGCATCCACACTGGAGTATCCACACCGAAGGGTCATACAGATGCATGAACAAAACACATACTGAAGTCGATGGCAAAACCATCAAACTTTGTCCTAATTCATCAACCTTGGATACATCATAGAAATGAAGCACTGGCCATTAGGCCATGCCATCCAATTCCTTGTTCAGTTTAGGGAACTAAAAGCATTCCTCCCAAATATCTATCCAGACTATGCTTAAATATACTCTATTCCCGTGACGGCGAACCAATGGCACATGTGCCCAAAGTGGCACACGGAGCCATGTTGCCTGGCACAAGCGGCATCACCCTTCCTCTTCTGGGTTTCTGGTGTGCATGCACACCCGATGATCAGCTGGCCTTTGTGCAGGCGGCAGTGCTGGGAACCAGAAGAGCAGGTCTTCCGTTTTCCGGCATGAGCTGATCGCTGCGTGCGAATATGCGGCAGTAACCAGAAGACTTGCTGGCGCATGCCGGAAACTGAAGTTCATTTTCTGGCATGTGCATGCCCCCTGGACAGCTCCTCTTCTTTGTTGCAGCCCAGATGAGCATCCATGCGTGCCAAAGGGCTCCCTTTCTGGCACTTGGTGCCAAAAAGGTTCTCCATCACTGACGGTATGGTTCCTGATATGGCTCAGATTGCAGGGTGATCTCTGAGTTTGGTGGTTTTCTTGCAGACGTTTCATTACCACACTAGATAACATCAACAGTACAGGGATGATGTTACCTAGCTTAGTAATGAAACGCCTGCAAGGAAAGCGCCAAGCTCAGAGAGCACCAGGACCCCGTAGTTCAAAGCCTAGCCAAAAATATTCTCACGAATGAAGGTAAATATATGTGTCCCAGGATCCTGCTACAAATATTCTCTTTTACCAAAGGGGGCTGTATATGTCCTGCTGGGGTTAATGTCAGAAAAAAAAACATATTTTGATATGCGGGAAGAAAAACACCCCAACCTTGAGCTATAAATGTTCTCTTCTATGGCTCAATTTTCTGGGAAACATGACACAGCTGGATCACCAAAAGGATGTTCAGTTCATGATAGCCAATACGCATAGATCCGTGTGAATGCTCAGCATGGGTGCTACAGTGTAAGGCTGTGCAAAGCTCTAAGGCTGAAGGCAGGGGTGGGATTCAAAAATGGCAGCAACCGGTTTTCTGCCCGGTTGCTGGGTGGGCGTGGCCTCAGTGGAAATGACCTAATCAACCTTCTGCACCATGGCAGAGGGAGAGTTTTCACCCTCCCAAGGCTACGGAGGCTTTCCTTAAGCCTTAAGGAGGGTGAGAATGGCTTCCCCTGGGCTGTGGTGGCCCTCTGGAGGCTGGAAATGGGCCCCTTCCCAAGACTTCCAGGAGGCCTGTTTTTCGCCCTCCCAGAGCCTCTGTGTGGGCCCTGCACTTACCTGGCATGATGAACAGGCCACGTGGAGACTCTGGGGAGGGGAGGGGAGGGTTGTGCAGGGCTAGCCGTTCCTTGTGACAACAGGTTCAGCAAACCAGATGCAAAATTAACTTCCAGTTTGCCCGACCCAGTGCAAACCGGCTGAATCTTGCCCCTGTCTGAAGGGACAATGCTTTGACGTCTTCATAAAGCAACACGGGCCTTTACTTTTATAGAACAAAACACAATTGCCCCATTGCTTCATCCTGTTCCAGGGAGCTGCAGGAAGCACCAGCAAAGGAGTTTTTGCGCATTTAATTCTGGGTGGGCCAGAGACCTCAAAAGCAACAAAAAAAATGCAGTAGGAATTTGGGTAGGGGGTTACCTCCACATCTAGACAAGCTTAATGAAAGTCATCTTGTAATGGTCAGAGAAATAATTGCACGAGATGGAAAAGAGGAAGCACTGCACCAGGACTGGCGAAAATGCGACAATAAATTCTGCACAACCAAAGCCAGGTGAGACTTCCTTCTAAATGCAGAGAGACAGTCTCACTCTCCCAATACACATAACTATTATTGCACTGTATTTTTTTTAAAAGAGAGCCAGTATAGTGGTTAAGGCACTGGGCTAGAAACTGGGAGACCAGAAGTTCTAGTCTTGTCTTAGGCATCAAGCTAGCTGGGTGACCTTTGGGCCAGTCACTGTGTCTCAGCCCTAGGAAGAAGCAGGCAATGACAAACCACTTCTGCAATCTTCCCAAGAAAAGTGCAGGGACTTGTCCAGGAAGTTACCAACAGTCAATAATAACTTGAAGGCACAATTAATCAATCCAGTATGAATCAGTGCAACAACTTGGTAGAAGCCCATTCGTTCTTCCTTACAGTTGGTCAAATTGCAGATGCCTGTAAGTTTTCCCATCGGCCCATTTCTCTCCTGAAAGCAACCATGACATAATAAGGCCCCCAAACCCCAAACCTCCTAAAATATGCCAAGAAAACTCACCGGCTGTGTTGTAGGGACCTTGCCTCATATTTCTGGCTTGCATATCTGCTGTAGTTTCTACCGATATCTGAACAGGTAAATCTGAAAGGCAGTTAGCAGAGAGGTTGGCATTTGAATAGACGGCCCAACTCAAGACGGGTCATGTTAACGTATTTTTGGACTCACCTGAGAGTGTCCACAAGTGTGACATAAATCTTGGATCAGTTAGGGATGTCAGACAAGAGGCATGTTTCGCAAAGAGCTCTAGACTTTGCTCTCTGAGACGCTCAAGGTCAGGATTCCAGGGAAGAAACTGTTTATCTCAGAAGCAGCCAAATGAAAAGAGGGTATCCTGCCATCACAGGTTTGAGCTTTTATTTAACAGAAGAGACTTAATTTCACAGAGAAATAAACCATTCCATTTTAAAAGAGGAATCCAAGACTGAGAGAAAGGCTGGGCACCCGATGGGACTGTAAAATATGTACAGGTAGTCCTCAACTTACGATCACAATTGAGTTCAACATTTATGTTGTTAGGTGAGTAATTTGTTAAGTGAGTTTGCTCCATTTTATGACTTCTCTTGCTACATTTGTTAAGTGAATCACTGCAGTTCTTAAATTAGTAACACGGTTCTTAAGTGAATCGCGTTTCCCCCATTGACTTTGCTTGTCAGAAGGTTGCAAAAGGGGATGACATGACTCTGGGACATTGCAACCGTCATAAATGTGAGTTATCAAGCCTCCAAATGTAAATCATGTGACTATGGGGATGCTATGGCAGTCATAAGTGTGAAAAGTGGTCCTATGCTACTTTTTTCAGTGCCGTTGTAACTTTGAATGGTCATTAAATGAATTTTTATTAAGTTAAGGACTCCCTGTATATGGTCCTCATTTAGTGACCACCTCATTTAGGGGTCATTCACAGTTACAACAGTGATAAAAAGCAACTTTGCAAGCAAACTTCACATTTACAATTTTGTAAAGTAAAGGAAAGCTGAAGTAAGATCACAAGCACAGTTGTGGTTTCACTCAGCGACCGCTTTGATTAGTGACCGATTTGCCAGTCCCAATTGTGGTTGGTACTGGTAATATTCAAGAGGCTACTGGTGCAAGCTTAGTTTCCAGTTGAAGACCAAGTACCTCCCTACCAGACCTTTTACCTTAAGCTGTCTCCCGTGGACCTTACTCATTTCTTAAGAGGTCCGTAAAGGGGACGTGCATAAGTGCACCAGCATGACTTCCGTCCTTGTCCTACTGTCCCCATTGATATGTACTCTTTTTATGTGTTTATGGCTATGTTTTGCTTATTTATATCCATTTATTTCTGCCATTTTTTCATGTGTTATACTTGTTTCTTTGTACTAGTTGACAGTAAATAAATAAAATAAAATAAAATAAATAAAATAATAAATAAATAAAATAAATAAAATAAATAAAATAAATAAAATAAAT